GAAGAGAAGGAGGAGGAAAAGGAAGAGGAGGAGGAAGAGGAGGAGGAAGAGGAAGAGTAGGAGGAGGAAAAGGAAGAGGAGGAAGAGAAGGAGGAGGAGGAAGAGGAGGAGGAGGAAAAGGAAGAGGAGGAGGAAGAGGAAGAGGAGGAGGAAGACGAAGAGTAGGAGGAGGAAAAGGAAGAGGAGGAAGAGGAGGAGGAGGAGGAGGAGGAAAAGGAAGAGGAGGAAGAGGAAGAGGAGGAGGAAGACGAAGAGTAGGAGGAGGAAAAGGAAGAGGAGGAAGAGAAGGAGGAAGAGGAGGAGGCCTCCTAAGGAGGTAAGGTGTGTTGTGTAGCAAAGGTAGCATTTATCCAGTTTTGCCAGGTGGAGGGGAGACCAGCTCCTTGGAGAAAGGCAAGTGAGGGCAGAGAAGCCCAGGTTGGCTCACAGAGTCCTAGAGAGACGTGTCAAATCAGGGCTGGGCGACCTCCATTCTGTGTACCCCCCTCCCCCCAGGTTATGTTATGTTGTGATCCTACGACATCACTCCACCAATGCTCCTGCTATATTGAACGCATTTAGGTAAAGGTAAAGGTTCCCTCTCACGCATACGTGCCAGTCGTTCCCGGCTCTAGGGTGCGGTGCTCATCTCCGTTACAAAGCCGAAGAAGAGCCAGCGCTGTCCGAAGACATCTCCATGGTCATGTGGCCAGCATGACTAAACGCCTGAAGGCGCACGGAATGCTGTTCTCTTCCCGCCAAGGTGGTCCCTATTTTTCTACTTGCATTTTTTTACATGCTTTCGAACTGCTAGGTTGGCAGAAGCTGGGACAAGTAACAGGAGCTCACACCATTACGCGGCGCTAGGGATTCGAACCTCCGAACTGCCGACCTTTCTGATCGACCAGCTCAGCGTCTTTAGCCACTGAGCCACGAATGCATTTAATTGAGCGTAAAAAGAAAATGCTGGGTCAGATTTTTTTAACAGACAAAATGCAGCTCCTGGTGAAAAGTGTGGCCCACCTTAGAGGAATCAATGTGGCGAAGAAACCACGCATGTTTATTTTTGTTAATTTTTCTGATTTTTTCAGATTTGATAAGAAGATTCCACACGAGTAATGATACCAAAGGCAAATAGACAAAAACTTTGCAGGAAGCCGTCTGGGTCACCGTGACTCTCAGAAAAGTTAAGGAACTGACTGCCCTTGAATTATTTCGCAATTCATCAGGGAAAGGAAGGAATTATTCCTTTGAGGAGGGGATCAATCTAGACTAGAGGAAGGAGCCCACTTGCCCAAGACATAAAGTCCTGGATCGTATGGCTAGAAACTGTTTGTTAATAGTGCAAGTGATTATTTCGGCAGACCCTGGAACAGGGGCTGTTAGCCAATGAACCGGGGGAGCTGAAAAATATCCTTGGTAACTTAAGATAGTCAAAACAAATTCCAAGGCTGAGCTCTGGAGAAACAGAAAATAAAGGAAATTACTGTACAGGCAATGACTTGCAGCTGGGAGAGGAGGAGCCGGTCCAAGACTGAGATAATTTGTAGCAATTCCTATCGTTTACAACCCTGATCATTTATTCAGGACAATTAATCAGCGGAACAACTTGTCACCAGAAGTTGTGGGTGCTCCATCCCTGAAGTGTTTTTTAAAGAAGAGACCGGACAGCCAGCCATTAGCCTGAAATGGTAGAGGGTCTCATGCTTCAGCAGGGGGCTGGATTAGAAGACCTCCAAGGTCCCTTCCAGCTCTCTTCTGATTGATTGATTGATTTGGTAAACAAACCCACATGGCCATCCGTTTACCAGAGGAAAAACTCTGGACAGCAGACAGAAATAATAACACAAAGCAGCCAACGATGAGCAATCCTCATCCATGGTGAGGCTCCCATAAAACTTCCAGATATCCCCCAGCCATCCTGCACCATTGGCGCAAATCTCCTGGCCGGGGCTTGGAAGCAGCAATGGGGTTCAGAGGAGGTGCTTCAAATAAGGGAAGGGGGCAGGCAAGCCATGAGGTGCCCCCGTTTTTCAGGCCTGGAGGTGTCAAATCTATCGCCTGAGGCTCCCAATTCCTAGGAATTAGAAATAAGCGTCATAAGATTCTCCCATTTTACCTTTGATAATGAATAGAATGGGATGCTTTTGAAGAGCTTATGTCGATTCGATTCTATCCTATCCTATTCCATATTTTCTATTCTATTCTATTTCATATGGGGGCACAGAATTCACAGAGGGCTTTCGAAGATGAATTCGTTGTTCTTCAGCAGCTGGAAAACCACAATGCTGCCTGGAGGGAGGAGGGAGCCGAGCTGCCAGGTTTCCTCTTCAAGGACAGGAGATAAAAACCTCCCCAAGAGAAGAAGGTCAAGGCAAAGCAACAGAGCCAGGGGTGGTTGGAAAGGCAGGCAGGATGTGAGGCTCTCCCAAAGGGAGCCAAAAGGATCCTTCCTGGGTTGAAGGGGCTGCGGGGGTTGCCTCTGAAGGAAAGAGGTTGGATCTGGGACAGGATCAGGACGAGGCAGGCCTTGTGCTCGGCTGCATAAACAGAGGGATGGAATGGAGACGACGTGAAGTGTTTATTACCACTTTATATCTAAGGCCTTGGTAAGGCCACACCCGGAATTTCGGCATCCAGTTATTAAAAAAAAGATGCTGAGACTCTAAAAAGAGTGCAGAGAAGAGCAAGAAAGACAGAGGGGGCGGGAGGCTAGATTATATAAAAAAAAACGCAGGAATTTGTTATACTTTACTTTATTGTCATTGCACCTCGTACAACGAAATCAAACTTCATCCTCAGTGCACATCATGACCATGACCATGAAAATACACACAAACACACATCCTTCACCCTCCACACATTGAACCGGAAACCCCCGACACCACACCGACACTGCACTATACAGCAGAATTCAAAAGAGCTCCTGCCCTGGGATAGAAGCTGTTTTTCAGCCTATTTGTCCTTGTTTTTGTTATCCTGCACCGTCTGCCAGATGGTAATAGTTCAACAAAAAAAAAGGGGGGGTGTCCAGGATGAGATGGATCTTTGAGGATGTTTTGAACTTTCTTAAGGCAGCGGGAGCTATAAGGCTCTTCCAAAGAGGGAAGAGGGCAACCCATGATCCTCTGGGCAATGACGTTGACCTTATGTCTGGTTTAATGAAAAGAAGGACTAGGATTGATAGGGTAGCAGTGCTTCACTATCTAAGGGGCTGCCCCAAAGAAGAGGAGCTCTCAACCAGTGGTGGGATTCAAATCTTTTTACTACCGGGTCTGTGGGCATGGCTTGGTGGGCGTGGCAGGGGAAGAATACTGTAAACAATTCCTCCTTGTTGTAATGACGAGGCAGTCGAGGTGTTTGATCATGATCAAATGAATCATGATGAACTTTATTGGAGTCTAGTCTTGCATTTATACACATTTTTAGTAATCCTCCAACATTGGTTAACTTTGGTTATTGTTTAACTTTCGTTACTGTTTAGCATAGTAATTAACACAATTAATTATCTCTAGTTAAAGTCTAACACATGTTTACTTCCTCTCTCTAATCCTACTTTACATTAGTGACTTTGTTGGCCTGAGTTGTATTTGCTTTGGAACCTTCATTACCTGAGGTTTGCCATCCAAGATAATGACATTCCTGCAATTACAACTCTACACCTCCTCCCTCCTGGGGGAAAGTTACTGTAAAATCTCCCTTCCCTCCCCACCCCACTAACCTGCTTTCCAGCTCTGTTCTCCTGTGCAGGGCAACCAAAGGAGACCCAGCCGATCAGCTGGGACTCAATGGGAGGCAGAGGAGAGATGGGGTTGGCGGGGCCAGTCAGAGGTGGGATTGGCCGGTTCTCTGAACTACTCAAAATTCCCGCTACCGGTTCTCCAGAACTGGTCAGAACCGGCTGAACACCATTCCTGCTCACAACCTATTCTCCAAAGCGCCTGAAGGCAGGACAAGAAGTAACAGGGGTGGTAGATCGTTAGAGAGAACCAACCTGGAAATAAGGAGAAATTTCCTGACAGGACAATTGATCAGTGGAACCCCTCCAGAAGTTGTAAATGCTCCATCACTGGAAGTTTTTCTCCAACCTTGGCCACTTTAAGACTTGTGGACTTCAGCTCCCAGAATTCCTCAGCCAGCAAAATC